CGGCCAGGTCGATGTGAATTCTGGACCACGGAGCGCTGGCGCTCTCCCATTTAGTAGGGGTGGCAATAGGAGGAGCAGGACGGGATTCCTGGCAAATGTTGCAGGAACTTACCCATCTGACGACGTCCTCGTTGAGGCCCGGCCACCATACGTAGCTGCGTGCTAATGCCTTCATTCTAACGATGCCAGGGTGTCCCTCGTGCAACGCCTCCAGAACTCGGGTACGCAGTGAGGTCGGGATGACCACTCGAGTGCCCCACAGTAGACAGCCCTGCAAACTGGACAATTCCTGCATGCGGGTCTTGAAAGGTGTGAATTTGTTTTCAACATTACAACCCGGCCACCCCCTCCTCACCCAGTCGAGCACCTGGGCGAGCGTTTTGTCTGCCTTGGTTTTAGCAGCAATGTCAAGGGCAGTGATGGGGAGGTCCAGTTGGGTGACCTCAAAAATAGCGTGGACTGGAGCAGGGTCTTCAGCTGGAGCCGGCAAGGGACAGCGGCTGAGAGCGTCAGCGTGGGACAATGTTTTACCTGGGCGGTGTATGAGTCTGTAGGAGTAGGCTGCAAGGAAGAGGGTCCATCTCGTCATTCTAGGAGAAAGGACCTGAGGGGTCTGTTTGTCCCCAGCTAGTAGACCCAGGAGGGGCTTGTGGTCCGTGACCAGCTCGAAAAAATGGCCAAAGAGAAACTCGTGAAATTTTTTCACTGCTGCAACAGCTGCTAGAGCTTCCTTATCGATCTGGCTGTAATTGCGCTCTGTTGTAGAGAGCGTCCTGGAGAAAAAGCAATGGGAGCCTCGGCGCCATTGGGAAGCCTGTGACTTAATACTGCCCCGATTCCAAAGGGAGATGCGTCTGCTGCCAGCACTAATGGAAGGTTGGGGTCGAATTGAATAAGTACCGCCTCTGACGTGAGTAGTGATTTGACGGCGTGAAAAGCAGCGTCTTCTTTGTGCCCCCAGTGCCAAGGTGATTTTTTATCCAGTAATCTGTGTAGAGGTTCAGCTACTGATGCTTTATGGGGCAAGAAGGAGGCGTAAAAGTTCAATAGCCCCAAGAAGGCCTGTAGTTCAGTTTTGGAGGTTGGAGTGGGTGCCTCGTGAATTGCCTTAACCTTGGACTCCAGGGGGTGAATGCCTGAGGCGTCAATTTTATAACCCAGAAAGTCCACCTGTCTAGTGGCAATGGCGCATTTTTCTTTTTTCAATTTGAGGCCATGCTGTCTGAACCTCTCTAACACTGCTCTGACTCTCTGGAAGAGTTGGGGTCTGTCCCTGGCTGAGACTAAGATGTCGTCGAAGTAGGGTACTACACCAGGGAGGCCCTGCAAAATCCGCTCCATGAGGGATTGAAAAATACCTGGGGCAACACTTACGCCAAATTGGAGACGCTTGCATCGGAAAGCACCCCTGTGAGTGACAATGGTCTGGAGTTCCGCTGTTTGGTTGTCAACAGGGAACTGTTGATACGCTTGAGACATGTCCAATTTGGCAAAAATGCTGCCGGGTTCAAAAGTGTGTAATAAATGCTGAATGACGGGCACTGGGTAAGCGCTGACTTGTAGAAACTTATTGATTGTGGTCTTGTAGTCCGAGCAAATTCTCAGGCTACCGTCTTTTTTGAGGGGTGTGACAATGGGCGTCTCCCATTTGGCGAAATCTGTTGGCTCAATGACCCCTTGTTTTAACAGTTTATCCAATTCCGCATCTAGTTTTGGCCGAATAGCGAATGGGACCCTCCGCGGTTTTAGTCTGATTGGGACTGCCTGGGGGTCGACTGAGAATGAGATAGGGGTACCGTTATAACATCCCAGCTCATCGCTGAATACATCTGAGTAATCAGCGAATAAGGAGTCAGTGTCAGAGGTTGAGACAGCATGGACTCCTGTTAGCCCTAGGCCGAGATGGGGAAACCAATCGAGCCCCAATAAAGTAGGGAGATTGCCGTTAACTACCACTAGAGGTAGGTGACCTTTAAAAGCTCTAAAATTGACAAGGAACTTGCCTCTGCCGATTACAGGAATGGTCCTCCCCTGGTAGTCCTTCAGGCTAAACTGGCACTTCTGGAGCCGGCTAGTTGATAGGCTGGGCTGGAGCCTCTTGAGGGTGTTCCACGAGATAATTGAGAGCGCTGACCCTGTGTCAACCTCCATGCGGCACGGTTTACCTTCTAAGTAAACGGAGAGAGACCTCTGTAACGAGAGTCGTTAC